CATTTCAGTTGCAGACCAGACCAGGCCCAGACCGCTGCCAACGCGTTTACCGTTCCCCAGACATTCCGTCGCCTCGCCCTCTGGCCTGGGCATCCTGGGTCATCGCCAGACCACGGGTATGCCTTCATTGGTAGCCTTGGTCCAATAGTTCTGTTAAAAGTTTTTAACTTTTTAAAAGTTTAATCGGTTTAGATTATTATAAACTATAACTGTGTAATCACTCCGAAAACGGTTCAGCGTTGGTACTGTATGGTCTTTTTGCCAGTTTTATCATGATCGTAACGTTAAACTGTCAAAATTGTGATATACACATTCTGGTAATGATACATTTACTAAATTGTAAACAAAACCCTCGATAGCCGCCTTTGGCAAGAACTTTAATTTTATAATACCCGTGATTGTATATTACCCTCAATCACATGTTATTGCAAACCTACATACTTTTTATTTTTCTTCCTAGTAGAATTCTTATTTAATAATCCCCATAAGAGACTTGTTATCGAGATTCCACTGTGTAAACAGGAAGACTTCCGTATCTGTTGGCACAAACAACCGAATGAAAATACCGATCGATATGTTCATTATTCGATGTATCGTTTAAGTTAGGTAAGGTTAACTTAACCTAACTAACCAACCGATGTATATAATGAAACAGTCGAATAATCGATTATTTCATTCGGTTGTTTGTGTTAAAAGATACGGAAGTCTACCCGTGTAAACATACGTTAGTGATTCTAAACATAACAAATTAATTTTGTTAAATAATTGACACTAGAAGTGGAGGTTACTTTAAAAATCACAGTTTACAGACACTTTCAGCCATCGTGTGAGTAAGGTGTTCCCATTTATTTTAGTAAAACGTGAAACTTACCGCTAATCTTCAAGAATTCACTTCCCAGTATGCTTACGTTATATGCACTCGAAGCGGTTATCGATCTCTTCGTACTATATAAATACATTGGGGTCTTTATTAAGACTACTCCTAATAGCAACCTCAGAAGCTTTTTCACTGAAACTTTACGAGCAACATACAATTTTTGTTTCTAAAGGGAACACGCACGAACAAGAAACCATTTTGAGAGAGATGACGAAAATTTACCAATTACTCCGAAGCACGTTTGCTGTTTGAAGGTGGCGAAGTAATATTGTCGGTAAGCTAAATAAAGCCAAACGCCTCTAGCACAATACGTGACGAAGTGGGTCACGTAGGAACTTGTGACCTCGGCCCTGCATGAACCCTACGTGAGACATTACATGGCTATACGTGATCTAATGTCCCTAATTGCTTGTTAATGTCACTGACGTAAAAAACCAATTAGTTCCATTGTTAACACACCTGTTTTACGTGTGCTTATAGGTTAAAGGGAGCATACCATATAATGTATCTGGTACTGTATTTGTAATGTACCATGGTAAAAATTATCCAGCTAAATCATCGGTGGTTAAAAAAGGTGGCGGTTTAAATTGTTTAGCATTTATCATGTTCAGCCCCAAAATTGTTTCTTCGACTTAAAAATACGATAATATTTCAATATTTCAATATTTATTTTATTTATTCATTTTATTCATTTTAATTATTTTATTCATTTTATTTATTTCATTTATTTTAATTATTTTATTAATTTGATTTGTTTTTTGATTTAAATTATTTTATTTATTTGTTTTATTGATTTATATTATTTGATGTATTTATTTTAATAATACGTTTTGGGCGTTTTTATGCAATGACATTGAAGTTGGTTTGCCTTTAGCGGTACACCCTGGTAGTGTATTTTTTTCTAATACGTAAACATTTTAGCAGTTTGGTAAACTACTTGAGCAGTTTTTTTTTAGTCTTTCACCGGGTGTTGTTCCGTGTGATAGGTAGGTACAAGTTATGTAGGCGTGTAGGCGTGTAGAAGGGAGTGAGTAGCTCACGTGCGTGTGGGATGAGCGCGTGTTTATGACGTCACGGAAGTGTTAACTACTCACGTGCACGTGCACACCTGAGACGCTGTACAGCTTTAACAAAATACTTGTTTGAATTTCCAAATTGTTGGATAAAATTGAACACTCGGACACTTGAAATTAAGATTAATGAAAATTAAGATCTTAAAAGCAGATTAAAATCTGTCAGGACAATTCTATATTAGGCAAGCATGATTCTTGAAAAAAACGTTTCTCAGTCGTTTGCATCGCAGGTAGAAAGATATTTTCCTGTAGATGAACTCTTTATAAATTGAAACACTCTAAAAAATAAGCTCAAAAATTATTTAAAATAAAAAAAATAACATTGGCCTTATGGGTTGCTATACTGGTGGCAAAATAACGACGAAATAACAACGATATATTAACAGAAAATCATAACAAAGGGAAGAAATTTCAATCACTCGTTTTATTTACAGTGTGGGGTGAAAGTAGAGAAGTTTGCATAATATTGTTTGGTTGAGAATTTGACCACTGAGCGACCTCTATAATTATACTGTACATGAATTGCACATTGCCTACTTTTTTCATGTAGAAGGATAAGATATAATAATGATCAACAAATTACAGGTTTCGCCCAGTATGGGCATTGCACATTATTGCTAAAACTGGTTACTATATACAAACCTCGCTTCGTACGCAAGTCAAAAGGCCAATGAAGTTGGTTTACTCAACATGGCGACAATTTCAATACCTTTATACTCGTTTGTATATTTTATGTACATTTTGGAAAGCATATATTTGGAAATGAATCGTAAAGCTATACAAAGTACAGCTTACACATATATTATAGCTATTATACACTCTTGTGTGCGTGTAAATGTCTAGTATGCTAATACATTGGCAACTACAACTGACCAGTTAAGTGTGCCAACAGGTCAGTTATAATTTTACAATCTACTCACCATATGTTCACTAGACGAGATTAATTGATTAATTATAAGATATTTTTCTGTAAGTAAGCTTTATCTTGTACGGAGTAAACTTATTTGTGAACATATTTTTAGACTATGGTACATAAAATATATAAAAGTGGTATATAAAATTCAAGTCAGAATTTTGATTTCACATTATACCATCCTACTATTCGCTTAGTAGTCCAGTTAAGGAATGAGGTGTAGAGTGCGTGAGCAGGTAACTAAGCGATTCCTTCAGAAACTTGTTCAGGGGGCTTAGGGTGTTAACATACCAAAAGTCCTGACTCCTAGGTGGTGAGCCAGTGGGTGGAGGGGGGAAAAAGGGGGGGGAAAAGGTACGCATTTAGGGTTTTTTGATTATATCTCGAAAACTATCAACTTTTTGTATACTATAGTAAATTATAAAATTGAAGAAGATTACATTTTCTACAAGAAAAGTATATAATGTGTTTATTTTGGTTCCACAGATTACGAGTTATAACTTATTTAATTGATATCTTATTAAAATACTCCTTCCATAAGAAATACATGTAAATTAGTATGCGAAATGGGGCGAATCCTATCCGCCCAAAGGAAATATAACTGATATTCTGGAAATCTTGACAAAATTTCCAGTAATTTGACACTTTAATCATTAAAATTGATCCAAAATTAAGGCGAGGGCGAGGTAACAAAATGTCGAGTTTTGGTGTTTTTTTATTGGAAATATAAAAAAAACCTTAAATCATCCCATTTTTAAACGCTCACCCTCGCTTTAATTTTTGACAAAATTTCATGATTAAAGTGTCAAATTACTGGAAATTTTGTCAAGATTTCCAGAATATCAGTTATATTTCCTTTGGGCGGATAGGATTCGCCCCATTTCGCATACTAATTTACATGTATTTCTTATGGAAGGAGTATTTTAATAAGATATCAATTAAATAAGTTATAACTCGTAATCTGTGGAACCAAAATAAACACATTATATACTTTTCTTGTAGAAAATTTAATCTTCTTCAATTTTATAATTTACTATAGCATACAAAAAGTTGATAGTTTTCGAGATATAATCAAAAAACCCAAAATGCGTACCTTTTTCCCCCCCTTTTTCCCCCCTCCACCCCCTGGCTCACCACCTAGGAGTCAGGACTTTTGGTATGTTAACACCCTAAGCCCCCTGAACAAGTTTCTGAAGGAATCGCTTAGTTACCTGCTCACGCACTCTACACCTACTTTTGGATCATTCATTGACTGGACTATAGCTATTTTCTTGAAGTTTTTTCAGTACAACATTTCATAGTAAATACTAAAAGTTAGGCAAGCAAGTCATATAATCGCCTCATCTTCATGGAACAGCTGAATACAATTTTATTGTTAGTTCTGTACGTTGTACTACAGAGGTCGTGTATTGTTAACAAATTTTTCCTGTTATTTAAGTAATTTAAAACCTCGTTTAACTAAATAATACGATCTAATCAACTCCTCCTCTAGTTATATAGCCAAACAGTAAAGCACAAATCAAGAAATTAACCCTAAAATAATGTAAACAAAATTTCGTCGACACTAGCGCCCAATGTCGCCGTTCGTGAACTAGACTCGAAAAACGAGCTTCAAAATTACAATGTGATGAGAAGTTTATTTATGCTGGATGTTGGTTAGTCTATGACTGTACTAAACATAATACAATTATACTAATGTAAAAATAATGTAATTAATCAATTTTATGTTATTTAAAATTATTACATATTGGCTATCTCCCTCCCCCAACAGACCTCTTAGAAAATGTAATAAGAAACATAGTAGCGAAATTTAAACGCAAAAGTGGGTACATATTTGTTATGTGCACAATTGTAACCAACTTCATCTGTAATAATTTTAAAAGACTATGTAAAGGTCTAGTTAAGTTAAAAAGTTTGTTATTTCCTTTAGTGAGCTTTTAGTTCTCAATTTATATGTTAAATAAAACGTAAACAACTCTTATAAACAAACCAAGTCAATCTGTAACTTATTTGATAAAACTCGATTGATAACCCATATTTCACAGTATCTCAATACAGCAAAGCACTACTTAGTGTGGATCATTTATAAATAGTTTCTGATAATAGAAAGAATCGTTCTAGTTTAGTATAGCTTCTCAACATGCAGATTGTTCGAGCTCATTGTGTTATATGTCGTAAATTAAAGGAGTTGCTACAGCATTCTTATAAACTCAATAATGTCAGATGATGAAGGTTTTTCAACAACTCCATTGGAGAAAAGGTAAATTCTATAGAATATGAAATATATATAACAATAGTGTCTTATACATAACAATATTATGAAGACACTGTAAATATGAGTTATGTTGTGAATTATTTTAGCTACTATTATTGACTATTATTGACTATATATACCTACAGTCCTACTATATATACCTATATATATATATATACTATATATACCTACTATATATACCTGTAGGTATATATAGTCAATGCTACTATATAATTTCCATATAGGAAAGGACCTTTTGCTATAGTCTTCAAGGTAGGATGTACGTTCTTTTCATATTTTAGAACCCAGGAACCATAATCGGTGTTCGTACAGTAATGAAGGCCAATTATGTAGAGGTCGTCCAATGTTCGAAACCTCGACCAAAAATATGCTATTTACAGAGTTATCTATTTTTACCCCAGACTATAAATATAACATGTGATTGGAATTTCTGTAATTTGTTTTAATTTTCTGGTGTTTCGTTGTTTTTTGGTCCCCAGCATTAGGCCCGTGTTATTTTTCAAATTTTAAACCCATTTTTTGTGCTTTTTTGACCCTTTTATAAATTACAAAGGCATTCTGCAAATCGACAGGAAAATATCTTTCTTACAGTATTTGTAGATTTTTCCTGCGATCCACACGAGCTGACAAAAAAGGTATTAAAAAACACGCTTGCCTATAATATATAGATTCTATAAACAAATCCAAGCACCAGTTATATATTTTATTTTATTTCCCAGTTACATGAACTTCTCCTAGTTCTCCTAAGCATTTCGCAAGCTTGTGTGGTTTCTTCTGCGGTTTTCTTAAGCAATCTTCTTAACACTTACACTATAGCCTATACTGTATTTACAAAATTGTTACGTACACTATTTGCAATATATTTTTCCAGTTAAATCTTACTAATATTATAAATCTGAAAGTTTGTGAGTTTGTGTGTATGTTTGTGTGTTGCTCAATCACGCATAAACTACTGGACGGATTGGGCTGAAATTTGGCATGACGATAGCTCACATTCCCTATTAACATTTAGGCATATTCTTATCTCAAAAATCCTTTTGGGCTCCGCCCCAGTGGGTCTGTAGTTCCCCATGTTAACCTTATGAGTATTCATATTTAAAGGGAATAAAAGAATTTAGTCAGCTGTTTCAACTTTATAAGTTGGTTCTATAATATGCAATAGCATTTAAAAGTTATAAGGTTTCCCAACAGGGTGCAGCACTATTATTATTTTGTTTGTGCATATGACAACAGCTAATTTGAACTAAGCAGCAACAAAAAGCTGTGATACACAATGAGAACTGTCAAAGTAGGATTGTTTACAGGTTTGGGCTCAAACCACCTTAGGTTTGAGTTTTTAATTCAATGAATAATTTGTAATAATTGTGCGAATGTTTGATAATTTATTTTTTTCTATTGTTTAGGTGCAATGGTAGAACATTATGGCTATTGGTAGATTTGTTATACTATATCATACCGTAAATTTATGAACCAAATTTTATGAAACTGTCTCCTCCCCCCATTGCAAACGCAAAGCTTGAGTATAACTGCAATAAGCATTTTATACTTATATGCCAACCCCGTACGAAGGACGGGTGCTCTGCTAGTTCATCATAAAAATGTAAAAAATGTATATTACAATATAATATTATTTTACGCCCTCTGATTACTGTACCTAGATATTTGAGCAAAAACAATTATCCTTATGGAGACAGCATATTAATGAAACATTAACGATATCTCTGTGATGTTGAACCGGGTAAGCAATCCTGCTTCACGCAAAATATAAATTTAATCAAAATGCAGCGAACCCACAATTTGCTTGTTGTCTATAATTATTGGATGGTTGGTTTCCTTTCGCAACAAGCTGTCACATAAAGAATCCTTATCTTAATCCTTCATTGAAGGAACTAATCTTATATTAATAAGCAACTTATTTCTTTAATCAACAGGTTGGTGGCCTTTTATTTTTATTTTTATTTATTTTTTATTTTTATTTGATTGCATGTAAACAACACAGATTGTGTTATGAGATTTTTAATTTACTTAGCATACTTTAAAATATATTTTTGGAACTAGTTCATACTTATTCTTTACAGAAATCCATAATTAATTCACCTATAGAGGGAAATATGTCTCAAGGAATTATAAATATTATTGTAGATTAAGTAAATCCACAGAAAAAATTGTTCTCATAATTTTATAGTGTACCTTATGCCCTGATAAAAGGTGCTTATTAATTAACCCTTCTTGTCCACAAATTAAGGGCTAATAAAAACAGTTTCATTTTCAAAGTAAAAGGTAATCGATATCATTAAAATTTTCGTCCGTTCAACGTATTCTGATTAAACTTTTAATTTGCAAGGTAATCGTAGTTTTTAAATATAGTCATCTTCCTCTCTCTCTTTCTATGAAATCCATAAATATACTTTCACACGTGGCTAAAAGTGTAGACCTGTGTATTAATTATAACTAAGTAACTCATTAAAAATCAAAATCAAGAATAAATTTGAAAATAAGTCTAGGTGTTACAAGATTGGAGCTAAAGCGAGTAGGAAATTCCATATTTTACGTGACTGGAATCGTGTTTTAAATGCAATTACCTAAATTGAAAACGGTAAAGGACACACCCTAAAAGTCGTAACTTTAGTACATGCTATGCGAATCCAAACAAAACTGTTCATGAAATATAAATATTGCATTTTTAAGCATCTCATTCAACGTTGCAGACTTTCGAGTTACTAGTTTGTAAAAACTAATGTAACCAAAAACTTTTCGAAAAGTAAAATCTAAATTTTCTTTAGAAAATTTCAGATGTTAATTGAGTGTTTTTTGCAGACACCTTTCAGGGTATGACTAAATAACTGACCCTGAATGGTATTACAACTAGTTAGGTACGGAAAAGGTACATTGCCATTTCAAAGAGAGCAGGTTGTATTTTTGTAAAGTTAGAAATACTATTGCTCATTGATTCGAATTAGCCATTAACCCCGTTCATATTCCCACCAAACCCATGACACTAGTAAATTATATGGAACTTGTGACACATCACAGCCGCAATATATCCAGAGAAGAGAATAACCCTTGTTTACTCTCTAATTAATAACTTAACGACATTTAAAACATTTTTATCTACAAAGAAGAATGTTTATTGTCCATCTTCTGGAGGGGATTATTTAATCAAGGTCCTTACATTCTTAAAATAGACGATTGGTTCTCGGTGCTCCGGAGATGACTGCGTCGTTGGCGGAAATACTGACCGACGTTTCAATACGTTGAACCAATCCATCTTCAGGGCAAGATATAATTATAAAGTGTTGAATTTTAGCTTCCCCAAAGATTTGCTGCAACGTATCAGATAAATCTACCAGTATTTCCGCCTCGACATACCCGAATACCAAGATTTGACCATTCATATATCCTACCACCTTCTCAACCACATTTAACGGTGATCAACTTTAATGAACAGTTTCGCTGCCTCGCCGTTCACCCGGTCTCCACCGCCCTCGGAGCGCAGCCTCCTGTTGAACCTGGTGTCCAGGGTGAAGTGGTCGGCGGCGACCCCCACGGAGGAGGCTGTCCCCTTGGTCACCCCCGTGACTAACGTCGTGCTCCACTGGACCGGCGATCACGGGTGTACGGCCAAGGAGGAGTGCACCCGTCTGGTGTGGCTGCTGCAGAGGAAACATATGGGGGAACAGGGCCACAAGGATATACAGTACAAGTGAGTAGTTGTGGTGTAAGTATACTATTACCATTGATTATCAAGATTTGGTGTATGCTGCAAAAGATCCTGAATTGTACTTGCTGAACTACTTAATTAATTGAGAGAATGTGCAGAGCACAGACATAACTGGAACACATTTCGAATACAGAATTTGAATAATATATTGTTGTAATCTGTCTTTTAAACGATTGTCAATTATGTTTCCCCGTTCTTCTTTGTTTCGCAGCTACATAGTGGGAGGAGACGGGTTCATATACGAAGGTCTGGGATGGACCAAAGCCAGCAGGATGTTGTTGGAACTCCCTCTAGTTTTGAAGGGCTCCACTGTCGTTGTTGGTCTAATGGGTACCAAATGTGAGTCTCTCAGAACATTATAATGAGTCAAATGCTAATACAATTTCACTACTAATATCTAAATTGTTGGAAAACTGAAAAATAGATCTTAAATTTCTTAGCAATAGGCCTAAGGATTTTTACAATTCCTTAGATCGTTCAACATCGTTGAAAATCCTATTGACTATCAACCATATTCTTCATCAATATTATTTCATGAACCTCCTTATTATACGTTTTTCTTTGTTTTCTATTTTTATACTATTTTGTCGTTTTCCGCATTTTATATACTTATTATATAGTTTATTCTTCCTCTTGCACCACATAAACTTTTTTTATGATGCCTTTTCTCTTCCCTCTTTCGCTCAACTCTGTGTTTTTTTCTCATTCCATGATCTTTACCCATGTCTTACTCCATTGTCATTCGTTAGTTTTCACCTGATTCATCAACCATATTTATTCTATAACGTTTTGTTCACGTTACCAGATCATAATCTTTTTTTATTTGGTCCTTTTGATTCTTTTGTTCCAAATAATTAATTTACCTTATTCTTCTCTAGCGTCACGTTTCTCTGTTTCCATCCAATTTAGGGTTTCTCTCATATTTCTGTACTGTTTTCTTCTCATCCCTTGTTTTGCCTTCCCCTCCCAATCGTCCTTCACTTTTTCCATTCCTATACTGTACTCTTGCCTGCCATCCAATTCCTCTCCGTCTTATTCTACTTCCTTATATCTACAACGATAAAACTGCAGTGTATTTGTTCCTTTCGCACGGTATTTAATTGCCTTATTTAAAGTTGAATGTTAAACATGAGGTACCTACATTTTTTAATCTTTTGTCGTAGGAAAGGACTCCTCAAAATTGATGCAGTCTTCCCTATCCAGTCTCTTCACCGTCGCCACTATAGAGGGGCTTTTGAAAGAGAACATGGAACTTTTCGACTTTAGTAATGGGATCCTAAGCAAGCCATCGGATAAGCCAGAAAATGTTGTCTCGTCATTTCCGCCAACATAATCTGTTACACGTTAACACGTTGTAGTAACAGTTCAAAATCTTTTCAAGAGATTCCAAGGGTAGACTTCCGTATCTGTTAGCACAAACAACCGAATTAAAATATCGATCATTCGATTGTTTCATTCGATATATCGTTTGGTTAATTAGGTTAGGTTAACCTTACCTAACTAACCAAACGATATCGTTTTCGGTTGTTTTTGCAAACAGATACGGAAGTCTACCCGATTCCAAAAGTACTTTATGAAAAATAATATTAGAGGGAAAGAGCTCTTATGAACCATTGATGAGTTGTACACTTACGATGTACTGAATTTAACAGTATGTATTAATTATCACGGTGCACAAAATGGTTTAAACGTATCCTCTGTTGCCTATTCTATCATAGTGAGCGAAATGCTTGAAACTATAACTTTTTACAATAACTATCGTATTAGTAACTGCTGAAATGCAAATGCACACATATGAATACTGTGAGTGTAGTGTTTATTTTTCTAAGTTACATATTGATCCGTCCGCTATCATGTTTTATTTTAATCTTATTCATGTGTGATAGCTGATGGTGTGCGCATCTTTGATAAATACGTGGATTAATTATAAAGCTGAATTTCGATATGCAGTTTTATATAAACCACTATTTAACTTTATTCAAAATAACTATTTATCGTCATCTATTAACATTTTGGTCCTTCGAGCCGGATCATTAACAATATTTTCGATGCACCATTTTTATCGGACTATTTACAAAAATCAAACACCAGCTGCAATGATAACAGAATTGGTGTGTAGCCGGATTAGCTGTCATAAAAAATATGTTTCTTTAATTAGGATGAGATGCTGATCAGGAATCACTAGGCTACCTAAAAACCCCGACACTGATGACTACCTCTAAGTTACAATAGCGACGATATACCTTGGTTGGGGGTGTTGGTTTGACGTACGACTTAGACTGGCAAAGTAGCGAGATGGTTATCTACAGTGGGTGGTTTCAATTGACTTTCAACCTACGTTCCCGTTTTAACATTACACCGCTCCCTTGAACCCACACCTCAACTCAAATACTGCTTCGCCTGGTATTGCGTCATGGGAAAATCCATTCTCTGTTATTATACATTTCAATTACCAACCCACAACTTTCTACTCTATCGTCTTAAAATTGATCAACTTTAGAATTTCATATTTCGGATTAGAATTGCAGATTTAATTTGTTTAGCAGTGTTAGAAGTTAGTAACTAATTTTTCCTTACCTATAATGTGAAGTTTGTAAATTACAATAGACTAGTACATCCTTTGGGTAAACATTTTAATTTTTGTGTGTTCTAAAATCTTTGTGTGTTGTGTTTAAACAATTGAGTTCTCTTTATGGGCCAATGTATTTTAAATGCATCTTACGATTTTTATCATAATAATGATCTGTGGGTTTTGTTATCAACTTTTAAAGTCTTAAAAATTCGTACGCATTCAACAGTGTCAGAAACCGAGGCTATACATATCCCCGGTCAGAAACAGCCTCGTGTATATATGTTTAAAAATTAAAAAAATAAGAATCGTGTAATCATATGTGAAATATCTACCTTTAACTTTTGAAGATGGTTCAGGTCCCTTTAAGATCGTCATCATTTAAATATTCCCTTTGCAAAGGTAGATGATGTAAATGAAAAAAATCAATACGTTTAAACTTCACAATAAATAGTTTTACTCGCATTTAGTAAGGGAACGAACTTATCACAACCTATTTTGTGCATCTTCCAATCATGCAAAATATGCTGTGGTTGACGTGTACCTATAGTCCACTCCTTACCACCCTAACCAACAGCCTAACCAACTGCCTAACCAACTGCCTAAGCCAACAGAATATTGCCTAAATTAACATAACCGTGAAAGCCCTTCCTCCTTTAGGCTTTTAGGTTTTAGAGTTTGTGCTGAATTTTGTTTTCAATCATCTGTTTTTTTCTTCAATTTTACGTTTGTTTACATCAAAACAGATGGCCATCATACAAATTTTGTTTACATCCATCTGAAAATTGGATAATCGTTTCAGTTGACGCTGGCTGATTGTGGCGAATGAATCAATTTTTAATTATAGTGGTCATCCTCTTTTTGAAAAGACTCCTTTCACTCACCAAGCCCAAAGTACGGAGTTTCGAGACAATCCAAACAATTTACAGTTAGACTAAGTTAGGCAGGACAAGTTTCCCGCGGAATGCCAACCCATGACGCGCCAATTCCTCAATTACCCACACGAGATTGTGGCGCCAATTTGCGCAACAATAGAGAACTAGCGGTACCAGATCACGTGACTGAACAGCTGACTGCTACAGCTGGCGACATATGCAAACATCGCCTAGTATCAAGACATCTTCCTGCAACGACTTCGGTGTTTCCTGTTCCGCTACAACTACGCAGTTAGGACAGCTGTCACCGTCTGGTGGTACTGTAATTATGTTATTGTCTTGAGGGGAGGGTTCTAGCTCACCGGTTGTTGGAACTTCCTTTGGGGGATAGATCGGAGACTAAGGGAACTCGTACCAAAAACACAACGGACAGCAAAATGTGAATGTGTCCGACACCCTGGTTATAACGTTTCATAAATGATGATATGACCCAACTTCAGAGTGGAGTGATCCAGAAAACTCATTTAAAATGGAAGGTGGCCACCATTGAGATGAGGTGTTATGAGATTAAGTTCACTATGTGTAAAAATAACGTGGCTTAAGAGGAGAGCTAGTTTTGTTCTAGATTTGTGAACAAACGTTGAGGGCAGTCTCATGACTTTGAAATCTTGTAGGTCCTAAGAATACTTGCAATCGTTCCTTTGTAATATTTGTGTGGCAGACTTTCTTCTAAAGTACATCTTGAAATAGAACTCAGACATCGTTGGTCTTCATTTGTCAACGAAGGTGCAATGATGCATCAAAAGTTTTAAAATGCTTACAATCATGATTGTTTTGTAATAATATTTGACATGCATAATTTCTTCTGGTACGTTTTGGGAGAGAATTTGGGGCCTCTTCGGCCAATGAATACTTGAAGGGTTTAATTTCCTTGTATTTTTCATTTTAATACGACACATCTGCAATGTACTCGTTGGTCTCCGTTTTGGATCTAAAGAGGCCAAGTAGATAAATTGCAAGTAAGGATTCGTGGTACTATTCTATGGCCTTATCATTAAAAAGGAAAAATCATAATGCCTTTTCTTCCATCTCATTTTATACTTCGTCCATAACATAACACGGTCTACTTCCCTTGTATATCCAACCGGGTGGGCATTAATTGCGCCAACTGACCTGAGTCAGGAAGTAGGGTACTGTATGCCTGAATTGTGCCAACTACTCCAAGGAGCCACCCGATAGTGCATTAACTGCACCAAGTGGCGGCCCCCTTTGACTGTGAGGAGGTTAGGTTAGGTTAGATTAGGTTAGGTTGTGCGAGGTTAGGTAAGGTTAGGATGACACGTAAACAAGAACATTCCTTCTGTCAGCAACTCAACCCTACCTGGCTTGGGCTTAGCGCAACTAGAACTTTTGGGGGGCCCTTTGAGGGCTTGGCGCAATTAAGGGACTTTTGGCGCAATTTGCACGACCTCTTTCTCAGTTTCTGCATTTAGCCCGTCAATGTATTCAATTAGACCGTAGCGGTAGCAGGAGCGTTTATTTCACTCATCACTCTGGCTCAAGGACAGCTGGTCGTGTTGTGTTGTGTTCCCGCGCGAGGCAAATGTGACTCAGCGCGGGGGAGTATTGCCCGCCAGCGCGCCAACCGTCATGTCACGCCGCCGTCACGCTGCCAAACCTAATTTGCGCGTGACGTCATCCAAGGTCCGGTACCAGGCCTCTGGGTTGGCAGCGCAACTGGCGCGAAAATTTGGCGCGCATGTCGACCGTAACATCCTAGTTTTGGTGTTCCCATTGACAATGTGGGTTATTTTGATTACGCATGGAAATCGGATCTAGCATTGTTTTGGATCGAATATAGTATTGAAAATGTACAATTTAATGGGAAGGGGTTGTATTTTAATGTTTCAAATTTTACTGTGCCCATACCATGAAATTCATTATTAGTAGAACCATAAGTTTCAATTGGTTAGTTGTGGATTTGTGATCAAAATATATGGAGCTACTAGCAGAGCACCCGTCCTTCGTACGGGGTTGGAATATAAGTATAAAATGCTTATTGCAGTTAAGCTTTGCGTTTGCTACGCTTGGCAGTTATGCGCTTGTCGCAGTGGGTTAGGTTAGGTTAGGTTAGGTTAGATTAGGTTAGGTTAGGTTAGGTTAAAAATTCAATACATATCCTTTCACAGTCAGAAGTCCATAACTCCATTACTTTGAACACAGTCAGCATCCTGCCTGGTTTGTCCACCCCTAGCGGAAGCCACCCTCACGGTCACGTGTAATCTCTCTCTCTCCTCCTCCCCCTCTCGCGCAACCCGCAACCGTTGGCAAAACTCCGCAGTATGTGGAATTCATGGATGGGGACCCTTTCTACCTGATACCCGTTGGCAAAACTCCTACACTCTTGCGTTTGCAATAAGGGAGGACACAGTTTGATAAAATTTGCTTTTTTAAATTTACAGTATTCTATAGTATTACACATCTACCAGAGCCATAATGTTCTACCACTTCACCTAAACAATAGAGAAAATTAAATTACCAACAATTCGCAAAATATCACAAATTATTCATGAAATTAAAAACATAAACATAACTGTAAACAATCCTACTTTGACAGTTCTCATTGCGAATCACAGTTTTTTGTTGCTGCTTAGTTCAAATTAGCTGTTTTCATAAATTCAAAAAAAATATAGTGCTGCACCCTGTTGGTAAATCTTATAACTTTTTAATGCTTTTCCATATCAAGTAATCAAGTATCATAAAATATCATGGAACTAACTTTTTTAGTTGAAACAGCTGACTAATTTCTTTAATTCCCTTTGAATATGAATACTCATAAGGTTAACATGGGGAATTACAGAGCCACTGGGGCGGAGCCCGAAAGGATTTTTGAGATAAGAATATGCCTATATGTTAATCGGGAATGTAAGCTATCATCATGCCAAATTTCAGCCCAATCCGTCTAGTGGTTTAT